GACTACCAGTATTGAAGCTTTTTAGGCACCAATACAATGCATCTGAGTAAATCTGCAACATCTTGCGGTATTCCAACCCTAACATTATTACTGTCCGTGTATTTATTCAGAAGCATAACCAGATGGATTATTCTAGTGCTTTTCTGTGTCACTAGGAAACAAGCAGAGTGGAAGACTGAATCTCTGATCTCCCTGCTTTTTCATCAAGTATCAATGGACTTTACTACCAGCTGTGCTGCAGAGATAGGTACACCTTGAAAGAACAGAAAATGGCAGTAGATCAGTGCAAAATGTAATTCTTTTTCTTCCAGGTCTTAGACCTGAAGGTAGAATAAGGGGACAGAAGACATTTGAGCAAGCTGTCCTCACATTCTTTGTGTGGCACAGCCTTTCACTGGCCAATATGCGCTACACGTTTACCATCCAGATCTTCCAGGTCAGGAAACGTGGGCTGCTTTCACAGATAGAAGGATTTCATAAACGGACCTACTGTAGAACAGCTTCATGAGCAACCAGTTTTAGTGTCACCTCAGCAGATAGGAGAAGTCTGGTTAGGGAAGCAGCAGGTGTGCCTCAGTCCTCGCAATATGCTTTAAAAAAATTATTTTTAGATTATTCACTTGCAATCTGCCAGCAGGCCCAAGGGAGTTCGGGAGATTTGATTAGAGCACAATCTTCATTATTACAGATTTTCTTCCCGTGTTACACCTGAGGAACTGTGATTTTAAGAGAACTCATTTGGAACACTGCTCTTTTTCTTCCTAATGAAAACCTCCTTATTCCACCTCGATGTCACTGCCTCAGCAGAAGTCTCAGCTCTACTGTACATGTTCAACAGGGCAGAGCCAGGAATTCTTGGTCCCTTTCTACCATCTCCTTCTTAAATTAAATTGGACACGATAAAGATTAAACTGAACAATTAACAGGACCCGTGGAACACAAAACACGGAACAAATTGATTTTAAAATGCCAAAAGTGCTCAGCACTACATATGGCCATCAGTTGTGTCAAGAGATCAAGAGGTGCTGAACACTAATCCACTCAACACAACACAAGGCTGAAGGAGTTTCTGTCTGAGGACAGTGAAAGTTGCCCGTCAACACTACTGCATGTCACAGCAAGCCTAACCTGAAATGACTGGTACTCATCAGCCTGGCCCTTCACTTTTGAGAGAGAGAGAGAAAGCCCTTGCTCTCCACTGTTTCAGAGCCGTTTCCCTCGTATCAAAGTCCACATGCTGTTTCAGCCACAAGTAGGGGATTTGTCACATACTGTATAATCAAAGTCCTACACTAGTATACTCTATATGCGTATTGAACCGTCCTGATTCCGGAAAAGAGAAATAGTCGTAAAACGACACTGCATTTCCTGCACTTGTACATATTGGTACCAATTCTTTTTCAGATTGATGTGCACTGATTATTTCAGAGTTCCACATGACATTAATAATGCTGAGTAAGGAAAGCTACTCTCAGGATCCACAGAGGACAAAACTTAAAAGAATTTCTTTTCCTGTTACTTAATCACACCAGGTTTCGTCAGCTGAAAGCTGGGAAAAATAAAACAAGCAATATAAAGCCACACGAGAGCCAAGGAATGTGACTAATGTTTTTTCAGTTGATTGTCTGTGGCCTCGGTGTAGGAGTGCCCGATGTCCCGAACAGTCATTGTCTTAGTCACACCGAGTAGGTGACCACACTCCCATCAGATGTCTGCAGCTTGCTTACATGCGACTTCCACAAACCGAGAGAAGCCTCTGGAATTCACAATTGTTGCGACAGGACAACAGGAGCAAGAGTGCACCTGCAGCAGCTCTAGAGTGTGCAGCACACTGAACACACAGCAGCTGAGCTGTGGATCTGCATGGGTTACTGCAATACAGGTAGAGTCTGCTAGAAACCGCAGAGGTCATCAACCGTTCATGCTGACCCGAGACCTTGCTGGAGTTAGTCAGAACCTTGGAGGCTTTAAGCAGAGAGAGACAGAGAGAGAGAGAGAGAGAGAGAGACAGACAGAGAGAGAGAGAGAGAGACAGAGAGAGAGAGAGACCCACTGCAGTTCCAGAGGTAACTACTAAAGCGAAGCTCAAGAGTCCATTATCACATCTAAAATGAGACGCACAAATTACCTGTGGGAGAATTCCACATATTCTGAGACAATCAGAAGCCGTGAGTATGGCGCCATTAACCAGTTTCACTCAGGGCATTTACAGTAGAAACTGTTTCTTGAAGTTATTCAGGAAGCAGGAACAGTGTTCGAAACAGGCAAAGGTGTAGAACTAATCTGAGCAAAATCCTTCAGTTTACAAACTGATACATGCCAAGCACATCAAAGTCTCTCGGGTACCTCACGCTTCAAAAAAGCCGCACACTAAAACCCGCATACACTACACCAGCGGCCCCAAATCATGTTCATCTGCACAGCTGAGTGCTTGTGCTGTACGTCTGCACACAAGATTGTCTCCATGTGCTGTCTTATAGAGGCCTGCCACTGGGACCGTTTCTTTCTCAGCGACACAATCATAAGGTGCAAACAACCTGATTTTACCCATGATACCCCTCGGCCCCGGGCACTGCTGCTCAAGTACCCAAAGGCCGCAGAAGGATTTCCCAGAGCGCCACGCTCCATGCCTGTGCGTCGACCTTGACACCAGCACCAGAGCTCTGGAGCTTCCTCTCCACTGCCTTCGTCTTTATCCGCAAGAGCAGGCACGAAAGAAAGATAATTGCATCTTCCAGGAGCGACAGTTTAGAGGGATTTTAAATCCGGAGACGCCCTACCTGCCTGACCACACAACCCCCCCCCGTAATCCAATAGATTATCTGTAGATTAGAAAAACAATAAGAACCGCTCTGAGGGCCACTGAAACGAGTGTGCACCTTCATACTCGGGGAGAGCAGCTTCCACCTCGGCCAGCAGGTGGGCGTGAGAGAGCGCGAGGCCGCGGTGTCACACAGCCCCCTGCCTGCAGTGAAGGATAAAGCAGTGCCCCGACGCACGCGTGCCACAGCAGAGGCACACCAGCGCGCCCAGAGGCTCGGGCACTTCAAGGATCAGAACGAGGGGAACGTGCCTTTGCAGGCCCCGGGGCGCTCGGGTCCCGGGACGGAACGAGCCAGAGTGAGCTGTCGCGGGGGAAAAGCAGGCTGCAAAATGCCGATCAGATCAAATCACCGCGGTGCGCGGATTAGAAACATCTGCGTGCCAGTTGCAAAGTAAACCCCACCGTTTATTGATTGCGATGAAATATTGATTTCTGTCTCTGCAGCGAGAAGCAAAAATAAAAGTTAATTAGAATTAAATTGGAGAAATAATTCTGCTTCAGGGGAATATTGATGATCCAAACCTTCGTTTTGACCGAAGGCCGGCATTTCTTATCTTGACAGAACGCTTTTAAACCAGCACTGTGTGTGTTATGCTCTCTTTAGCTGTTTTGTTTGTTTGTTTGTTTGTTTGTTTGTTTTGGGACTGCAGAAGTAAAGCGTGATTTTCCCCCCATCCATGACCCTGAAGCCGCGTGCTCGTGGCGAGAGTGGCGGTACGCCGGAGTGTGGGGCGCGAGGCAGGACTGCACCCTGCACGGGGCGCCCGCGCGTGCACAGTGCTGGGAGGGGAACTATCCGCTAACGGACACCGTTGACTGTGAAACCTCGACGACCTCGGGCTCCCCGCTCCCTGCATCACAGATGCAGCCGCCAGTAGAGCTGCTGGCTGTCACATCTTCGCAACAAGTTCTTCCTTGGCACGGTGCACACTTGAATCCCAAGGTTGCGGAGCGTGCTTTTAAAGTAACGCAATGTTCCGAAGAGCGTTCTGAATTCTGATGCTAACGCAGCCGCGCTGCTGTGTGCCACAAGCATCTGCTGTAGTTCATTACCAGCACTGAAATAACGGGTCACCGTCCCTATTTCGCTTGCAGGCACCCGCCTCTGGAGGGAGCGGGGCGAGAATAAATTGTGGCTCTGTACTAAAACGGGGACAATTCGTTTGTCATGCCCCACGAAACCTCCCCGCCGCCATCCCGGTGCGCCGATCTATCTAACCAGTTGCTCAGTAATGCAGTTGTCTCGGAAACAAACAACAAGCAGCGCGGGCAATCAGCACAATGGCCACACAGTGCCACGTTATTGTCCCTTCTGCTCCAGCCTCGCTGAAGGCGGCTTTGTTCCTGGACAGGTGAGAAGCACACTCGTCTGGCAAGCCCCTGGTATCCTCATGCTATCATCCGAACACTTCCACTCCCCGTCATTGGGAAACCCGCAGTTTAAACCTCGGCTGGGCGCCGCGCACACAAGCCTCGGCCGAAGTGGATCACCAGGACGCGACACTTGGCGAGATTTCTTGACAGGAAAGTCCGAGAGGCTACTTACCTCACTGCACGTCGGCGGTCTGGAGCAGCTCGCACTGACTGTGAAGTCCAGGTTCTGGCTGGTTTAGCCCAACCAGAACCAAACCGGCTACAAGCTCCAAGTCCAGTATCGATTCGACAAAATGTAATAACATTCCTCGATATGCCGCGGTCGCCGGTGACCTCATTTATAAATAATGAACTGGGTAAATCCACTGATAACGCAGTTTAAGGTCCCGTTTTTCCCTTGCCTTTTTTTTTAAATCCACCGATATTTAAGCCCCCCCACCTCCCCGATACGCCCGAGTAAATGATGTACTGTACACTGTGAGCTGCTGCCGGTTGCGGTTATTTCGAGGAGCGGTTTTGCTCCAGGCGGAGACCGGGGCTGGGCAGGGCTGCTTCACCCGAAAGCGCGTCGCTGCAGCCCGCTTGTGCGAACTCCTCTATCCGCCCCAGTGGTCCGCTTTACTCTTCTCGCTCCGCCTGCGCCTACCCTGCACAACCGCCCTGGGGCGACCGCACGATGAATAAAAAAACACATCCTTCGATTCCCCATCGGGCGTGCGCAAGTGAAACTTCAAACGTTACGCAAAAACACCTCCACTTGAACCCCCTTCTCCCCTCCGCCCCGGCTTCTCGGTAGCGTTACCTTTGCGGCGGTCCATTTAGAGACCGCGGACGAGTCTGGAGTGGGAAAGGTAGACGGCTACCTGTTCCTTCCCTCCTCTCCTCTCCTCCCTTCCTTCCTTCCTTCACCCGCTGCCGCGCTCTCCGGCGGTCCTCGGCGAATGTGCGCTCCCGCGGCGGGAGCCTCCTCTCCGGCGCTGCCTGGCAGGCGGGGAGACGCGCATCAGAGCGCCGCCGCGGCTCAGCTCCCCGGTAGCGGCGGGGACGGGAGACAAATCACAGCCCGGCTTTCGCTTCGCGCTCCATATGCCGGGAACGGCGAGCCAGCAGCGCGCACGGGCGCGTCACGGAGCTGCACACGGGGCGGCGTGTTTAAAGTGCCCCCTCATCTCATCCTCGTCTCCGACTTGAGCCCTTTTAAATATTTTTTCTTCTGTCGATAGTATGTGGATTTCTCCTCTTTTCTTCCAGGAATCACAGGTGCGCTGCCGTAAGAGTTGCAGCCTTACCACAAAAAAAATCTCCCCTCAATCTCTGAAATCTCCCCTCAATAAAGGCTGAAATCCCTCGGAGATTAAGTATCCGCACTTTTGTTTTTGTTATTCTTTGTTTCAAAACAATAAATTAAATTGTTTTGTTTTTTTTTTTTAAAAAAGAAATCATCCAGGGATAAAACGTCCTCCTTGAACTTCAAGACTTCGCCTCCTGTACTGCGGCAGGCTGCTCTTAAACTCCACAGGGCGGAATGATGGACTTGATTTTCAGAAGAAAGGTTAACGCCGGGTTGCGTTTCCCTCGCTCCCTCTCTCTCCAGCCGTCAATGGGGTCCGAATTCGATCCATAACTTTTAGAACCGATCTTTATTTCAAACACATACACACCCACCCCCCAAAAAAAACACGCCACCCAGTCGAGGCGAGCTGTGGAGAAAACCGGGCGTTAGCGCTCTCGAAGATAACGGATAATTGAGCGCTGGCAGAGAAGCCGCTGTAACACGATCACATCTACAGTCCTGGAGCCGAGAGGCATTTTTCCTTCAGCGAGTCGCGGACAAGACGGCCAGGCAGATGGATTCGCCTCTCAGATTAAAAAAAAAAACAAACTCGGACAGCAGCGCAAGGCTTCTCCAGCATCTTCGACTGATTACTTCTTCCGCTTTGGCAACAGAACAGATTTTTATTGAGGCGGACTCGCCGGTGTTCACCAACTTTCGGTTCTCTGATGAATTTGACTTCCCGGCTTGTGATTCCGCAGACGCTGCTCTGGAACCGGGCGGATATGGTGCCCGGGCTGCAGGCGCGGCTGGCGCTGAGGCAGAACGTAGGTGTGGAGACTCACCGTGAAACGCCGCGCTCTGCAGGAGGAAAATAAAAAAAAGCTAATTTGGGGATCGTTTGTTAACCTCCTAATTAGTAAATATATGAAAAAAACATGACACCGACATAATACGTTGTCATTTGAATCCTTACAGGTGTATCAGAGAGAGAGCTGTGACGCGCATTCATCCATCTTAATCACGTAATTAAATGAGGGGCAGTCCTCTTTACAGCCTTCAAGTTCAACAAAGGCTGCGGGCACAGGCTGTTTAAATGATTAATTAATTTAAGTAAACAACGTGTGCGGTTTGTGGCCTAATGCGACGTAATCGAGGATGCGCTCCAATAGAAACCCCGAAAATCTGTCGAGGTTCACTTCTACCTCCTTGGCGCCGGGACACCCAGGTCGGACCGCACGCCGGCTTAATCCACAGCCGGAAATCCCAATAGTAAAGGTTATCTTTTACGAAAGTGTTGTTGAAAACTGTTTTTTTTTTATATATATACGAACAGTGCTTCGCGCTGTCTCCTTATGGGAGGAATTGGGCTCGGAGATCAGGGGGAACTCGACAGCTTTGGGGGCCGAGAAACCCCATCATAGCCCGTTCTTAACACGGGGCTCGGAGGAGGACTCATCTTTAATACAGTGCATTGCCACTTCTACCGCTAACAGAAACGCCCCCAACAACAATGTTTGAAAACCTTTCGGAAGTTTCCGCGCTCTGCACAATAAAAGCACAATACACAAAATACCCCCCGCGGCAAATAAAAGTAAACGGGGCTGTTCTGTCTCTGCTGCTGGACGGCCGTGAGCTACCGGGTCTGTGGCTCTCTGAGGGAGGCTGGAGTGGTGGGCTTGTGGCCCTCTGTGTCGGTTTTTATGGGTTCAGTTGTCGCCCGGTCGCGCTCAGGTGGGGCTCAGCGCGCCGCCGCACCTGGAGGTCAGGGGTGAGGTGAAGGATGGGGGGTCGCCTCAGAGCGGGGAGGGGATCACTGTTTTTTGAACCCCTGCTTCCGGAATAAAATACAAACTTAGTAATTGTTCGTTTAAAAAAAACGTTACGCCATACGTCATAAACCCAGGTGGACATTAACATTGGTGGTGGTGGAGGGGATCCCCATTACCTGTAAAGCGCTTTGAGCGGCGTGTCCAGAAAAGCGCTATATAAACGTAAGCAATTATTATTATTATTATTATTATTATTATTCTGTCTGCTGTCCATCCGTACCCGCGTCTCTCTGCCGGCCCGTTGGCTGTCTCTTCCTGTGCTAATGTTATCGCACGTTCTTCTGCCTTTCCGCTGAGAAGACAGAATAAAAAGATGGACCTGAAGTCGGATGGGGTGGGGAACGCTACCTTTTTAGCTTTTTTAGCTTTCCTTTTTCTGTTTTTTTCCTGTTGTTGTTACTGGTTGTAAATAATGCGTGCAATAAAAAAAAAACACCACTTTGGGAAACTCGTGCTCTAGCGCCGGATCGTTAGCGTGCAGATCGCAAAGCTGAATTAAGAATGGCGTCTACGGTCGTGTTTTCGCTGGGAGCACCTAATACCGGGAGTAATTTGCAGTCTGGTACGTTCCGCACATGATATTCGTAAAACGAGACAAGCACCTGGCGGCGCCGCGCCCAGCTCCTGTTCGGAAAGCAGAGCTTTGAAACGTACAGTAAACACGTTTTCCCTCTATATTCGTGCGCATGTTCGTGAGGAACCGGGGAGGTACAATTGCAAAGTTGACCGACCATAACTGGGGCGGAGCAGCGAGGTGCTTAACAATGAAAAACAGAAGCCGCTGTCCGCCTGGCTTTGTCATCACACACGAGCGATCGCTCAGTCAAAACCAGCTGTTTCATCTGAAGGCGAACCGACTTCAAAGACACTGCAGTTGAGGACAAGAGTACTTAACAGTACTGAACAGAAACTTGGTTATAGGCAAATTGGAAAGTTCCACTGTTGCTGAAGGGACAGACTACAGCCCTCTATTCTCTCCCCTCTCCATAGCAGGTGTGTAGCGCTACGACATAGCAGTGTCCCTCTGAGCAACAGTGTGGCTGTGCCTTGCTTCAAGGCCATGGCCCATGAAAACCCACCTGCAGTGCAGTCATTACAAGTTTATTACACACCATTGCTGTTCGAGCAAAGTCTGTGCACCTGTCCTGCTGGCAGCTCCACCGAGGTGCCCCACTGAAGACTCCTGTTGCCCCAGAGGTCACTGGCCTGTCCCCTCCCCTGTGCGATGCCTTTGACCTCATCTGCCCTCGAACCCAGTACCTCCTCTACCTGCCATCTCCTGCACACACCTTGCCATACCATTTAGTTGGTCAAATCGTGCTCGAGACTGCCTGGAACAGCTCGTCCTGTGAGTTACAGGCGTAGCTTTTCCACAGCAGTATAGCTGCTGATGACACCCAGAGCAATAACACATGAACAGATGATGTTGAATTGGGTTAATGTACTCTTTTCCCATTTAGATTGTGCTGTTTTTTTTCCTGTTGCATTCATAAATCATTAGACAGTAGAAATGACTAAAAGAACACAGGTCCTACTAAGAATGACATTTACCATTAAGCCCCCACCCTCCCCAAGCCATAATTTCCTTTCCATATTGCTGCCTTGCTCTGCAAAGGACTTGTTGACAATGCTAGCCTCTGCAGCATTGCAGGGCAATGCAGGCTTTAGTAATTCACTCTGTGAAAACCCAAGGTTATCTCTAAATGCAGTTTGCCTTAAAGCCTGAATACTGTAGCACATTTCCTCTTCTGAGGAGAAAGGAAAATATTTCAGTTTGATAACACATTGTAGATTAAAAAAGAAGTGCACAGCAGACTTTTGTTGTGCTATTTCGGTAGTTATCCTCCAACATGCAATCGTATTATTTTTATGAGGCTTGCTTTTATTTATTACAGTCTTATACACATTCTCTTCCTCAAGGGTGTGAGGATGTATTTCATCAGGCGTGAGTGTGCGCTGCTCTTGCCTGTGCTTTTCTCCGGAAGGCTTTTCGTTCGAGATCCAGGCTTGTGTGCGCAGGAGTGTGGAGCTGAGCTGTCCGTGTTTGGGCAGAGCCCGGCTCTCCCGACGCTCTGCCCGTGGCACAGCTCTGGCATGGGCAAGCACCGAGAGAATGACCCATCCGGGGTGAAATCTCAGGAGCACCAGAAAATAAAATGGCAAACCACAGAGGTTTCTGGGCTAACCTCATCAGCTGCACAGGGAGTGCAGCAAACGTTCTGAGGTCCACAAGCAGCTTAGATATGTTTTTTTCTTTCTCATCGTACATGTACTGTACCGTACTGTATGTGTCTGATTTGCTAATGGGTTTGTGTTGGGTTAAATGTATCGTGAATTATGTGATGACTCTTACCTGCCTGCAACACAAACTCCCTGTCTGGGACAAGAAAGTAAGGAAGAATCCGTTTCCGACAAGACTGGCCGGGGGTTATACTGCCGGTGGGTTTGGTGGGGGACGTGGTTCGTCGTGCAGGGTGTTGAGATCACACAGGCGGGCGAGGGGTAGCTGGTGCATCAGTGTGCTTGGCAGTGCTCCGCTGCTAGGAACGCCAACATGAGCGCTCTGATTGTACTGAATCCCTGGCCAGCCTTGTAATTAAAACCCGGGGGAAGGAGCTGAGCTTTCTTCTTGGTTTAAATGAAGGGCAAAAACACAGACTGTTGACTCAGCCCACTGCTGCAACACCAACTGCTTAAGAAAAGACCGCAGAAGTTTTGTTTTTTATTAACTGTGATGAACTTTCCATTCTTGATTTCTTTGTGACTTGCAGGTCGTTTTTGCAGAAGGCACTGGAACTGCAGGGACACACAGGCCAGCTCACGGCCAGCTGTGAGACAGTCATCCTGCGAATCGCCAGCCAGCAAACCCACCGTCTCTCCCCATCAGTGCTGTGGCCCAGAGGACTGCACACATGGTAGGTGTGGATGAGAGCTTTTCTGTCTGATTTCTGGGTTTCATCACAGTCAGCCCCAAGATGGCTTCTGTAAAGATAGAACAGTCCTTCAGTGGTGGTAACTAAGGCTACCTGTTCTGCTGTAATATGGCTGTAGTCCCCACCCTCCCACTAAAGTTGACAGAGTTTGAAAAGTGTGTGTGAGTCAGTCTAGGTTGAGGGTTTGTTGTGGCCCGAGCTGTTTTTTGTGTGGTGTTAGTGAGCACTTGTTTCGAAACAATTGCAGTGCTGTAGGAGTCAGGCAAAGGGGAAACGGCATTCCTGGATGTCAAAAGGTCCTGTTGAAAGAGGTTGAT